TTTTATTTCTTTCTAGTACTTCAGTCAAGAGTAGGTTTTACTTTTCATGTGAAATTGACTCTGAAACTTAAGCATAATCTTGAGACAGTCGGGATGATTAGAGAGGTTTTACTTTGCTAAATACGATTAAATGTGGCAAGGGTCTTCTTTTAGATCATTAACAAATCACGTTAAATGTTTATGAAGTACCCTGGAAAATTATTCTTTCTGGGATTTTGGCTAATTATTTGATAAGCAATTTTACATTATCTAAAATATGTTACATATTTATTTCTCTTTTTATGTAAAGTGTGTTTCTGCACATATTTACGGAGACACACACACATTTGCCCTTTTCTAAAGGGGACTGTCTTTTCTATACGTCTTAAAATGTGGTGAGACAAGTAGTACTTCAAGATCCCTGCCCAGGTAGTTTAAACTATTTGCATTTTCTCGATTATTTTTTAGTCTAAATGCAAGTCCTCTCTTTCAGATACCTTTTTGAAACAAAAGATTTTCCTACCTGCTTATACTTGGTGATTGAGGGAATTACTAAGACTTCTTGCTCATTTCTGAGTATTGTCTTTATATCCTGACACTATGAATGCTATTTGGATGCCTCTTAAGGTAAGACGTGTTATTTTTTCATTACCAGCCTCATTCATTTTTCTTTAGAATTGGGAATATTGTAATTTTTGAATTTGCTATTCTTCAGTTCCTTTACATGCCATTTCTCTTGCTTGTGTTTACTTCCTAGGATTGATTGGCTGTACCTTACTTTGTATTGCTGCTGTTCTTTGATTATTGGTGTGAACGTTTTAATGAAGTTCTCAAATTAACTTCCATAATAACGAAAGTGTTTTTTTTTTGTTTTTGTTTTTTTTTTTTTGGAGACGGAGTCTCACTCTGTCGCCCAGGCTGGAGCAGTGGCGCATTCTCGGCTCACTGCAACCTCCGCTGCCCGTGTTCAAGCAGTTCTCTGCCTCAGCCTCCTGAGTAGCTGGGATTACAGGCGCCCGCCACCATGCCTGGCTAGTTTTTGTATTTTTAGTAGAGACAGGGTTTCACTGTGTTGCTCAGGCCGGTCTTGAAAAGAAGTTATTTAATAAACTCCCTTAGTGTTATTAGACACTAGCTACTAAAACAGCCTTTTTACCAACCAGAACTATAGCCCAGCTTGAGATTGGCAGATGTGATAAAAATATACTAAAATTGTTTTTAAAAATTTTACTTTCAAGATTTTTTAAAATTTAAATTCAATCCTGTGGATTAACTCGAGACATATTTTGCATAATATAGCCAGCTTCTGAAGCATATTTGTAACTTTAGGGTATAAAAAGAAGAAAAGAAAAATTTTACACCAACTGCCTGTAACTACCAACTTACTCTTGCAGCCGTTTTGATTTTTTGGTATATTGAAAAGTCTGATTCAGTTACGATCAGTGTATGGAATCACAAGAAGATCCATAAGAAACAAGGTGCTGGATTTCTCGGTTGTGTTCGTCTTCTTTCCAATGCCATCAGCCACCTCAAAGACACTGGTTGTGAGTAGATACTAGCGCTTTTTAAAATAAAAAAGATATATACGTGTGTGTGTGTATGTGTATATGTACATGTGCATATACATATATGCATACACTATATATGTATTCTCAAATATATGTACATAAATAAGATATATATTTGAGTATGTCGGTAGGGGTTCAAACACAACTTCTTGTGTATGTCTGAAACATTGGTAAAAATTCCTGGTCTAAATTTATTTTGTAGACTTAAAAATGAAACGTTTTAAATACGTGAAACTTACAGCTAAGTGACAGCTGGTGCTTCATTTCCAGTTAATTTAAAAGTATTAAGAAATGATTGATATCCAGAACGGCAAAAAGAAAGGTGTCAGGAAGTATATGCCTTTTTAAATGTCTTAGTACCCTTTTCTGGTTTTGGTTGATTTGTGGACAAAATGTTTTTATTGAGGTGATTGGAGTATTTAAGGTGGCAGTTAAAGGGCAATTATGAAGGGATAAGAATGGTATAATATATAAAACAGCTGTGACAAAATTAAAAGTTAAAGAAAGATTAAACATTATTTTGAGAGTACGACAGCTCCATTAACTACTTAACTGTAGCTCAGTTTATCACCAACCTGGGCATTTAGAAGATTAGACCAAGATCAAGACATTAGAAGTGGTTTTCATAATGGATTTATAAGGTGACTTAACAATCAGGTGACAGTCTTTTGGGTGGGTCTTTCCATTGGAGCATAAATGGGAATTCCTTTTTCAACAGGTTCTTATTGTGTGTTTGTTTCTATAGAATTCTTTTTTATATAATGTAAAAAATACCGTAGTCATTGTAATGGGATTTTAGCCCAGATTCTTATGCTCAACAAACTCGCATAGTATCTAAAGAAATTAATAAACAACAGTAAATTTAGTATTGAGTGTTAAATATATTAAGAGATTGTCTCTTTTAATGTAGTGTGATACCACAGCATAGATATGTATTGACCTTGTAAAAAGGAAAAAGGCAGAAAACTGAGCTAGAAGTTCTTAGTCCAAGGTATTTAAAGGCATCTGAGAAGTTCTTGTATTTCTGGGCTGACAGGGTAACCAACAGGAGAGAAAGGACAGTGGGATTGGAAAAAAACGAGTTGCATATAAAAATGCACTGTTTTCTTACTCAGCAAACTGAAAAATTATAGGTCAAATGTCTGACATTATTCCTAGTTCAATTTACCCAAGATTTATTGAAGACTTAATGTGCTACTGTTCTAAACCCTGGCTGTATAAAGGAGAAAAAGGCATGAATCCTGTCCTCTGAGAAGGAAGGGCAAAGGCCTGCTGGAGCATGCCACACTGGAAGGACTGAATAGGAGAGAAGGAGTTGCTCTGCAGAATCCACTGTATAGTCAACTTAGTAGCACCCATTTATTTTACAAAGAGAAAAGTGTCTAAATTTTTGGTTGGATAACTATGGACTATAGTTTTAAGGGCATGGATTTTTCTTTGTGTTTCTTGTGACTGTTTCATTGTATTATTTGACCTTTTTGACATGCAGTAATACTGAATTTATCAAATATTCATTGAGCTCCTACCTGATGCAATGTTCTACCAGGTTGGAGTGGAAAATACAAAGACTAAGATATGGTCTCCTCCTTTTATCAATTCACAAATAAGTAGACAGATGGCATACAGTTGTAAAAGCATTCAGCTATAAGTGCTGTAATCAAAGTAAAACCAGCGTGCTTTGGGTGACATTGTTCCTTACTGTAACTTTCAGGGTCAGACCAGTGTTATATCTCTTTTACAGATGAGGCATCTGAGAGAATAAGTGAGTTGCTCCTGAATGAGTTAGTGGCAGAACTGATGCAAACCCAGATTCTACAGTTTATTCTTGGCTTCTTATTAATACTTTTTTGTGTACATGTCATTTGAAATGGTTAGTTACAAAATAATAATGACAACTAACATTTGTTGACCACGTACGTCCCAGGCACTATGCTGAGGGTTTTGCATAATTATCTGATTTAATCCTTAAAAAAATATAAGGATTCACATATTGTCATATGTGAGAAAACCAAGGCTCAGGGATAAATTCCTTAAGAACAACAACTATTAAGACTCAGACTAAAGTGGTCTAAAAGTTTTGGAGAGAAAGTGACTGCATATTGGCAATGTAATACACCAGTACTTCATAGTTTTTGAAATCTGAATTCTTTAAATGATAGGTTTGATTTCTAATAGATTGTGGAAAATTATTGTCACTCTATAGATGTTAGAATCCCTGATATCAGGTAATGTTTTCATTGCTTTCTTTGTTGATTTCAAATAGATCAGAGGTTGGATTTATGCAAACTTGGGCCAAATGACAGTGATACAGTTAGAAGACAGTAGGTAAGTGTGGAATTTAAAGTTACATGAATTTTGGTTTCATTGAAACTGACCTAAAGTCTAAATACCTTCTAAATCAAAGTATAATAACTGTGACTTCATAGTGTTGGCCTGAATTAAATGAATTAGGTAAAATGTTACAGTGAATCCAGGATCCAGGTTAACTTAATTTTAAAAACTTTAATGTAAAAAAAAATGTGTCGTGAAGAACTGTTGATCCTTTAGGAAGTAATCCTTTCAAAGTATCCTAACATAGTAGAGCACTGAGTTCAGACTTTATAGATGTTATTAAAGTTTACTGAAAATAATTCTCAAAACTGGTTTTTTTAGTAAGAGAGCATGCTATTGAACTTGTTTTTAATGTTTAATGCCTTACAGCTTTAAAATCTATGCTAATTGAAAATAAAACAGAATGAGCAATGGTAGTGTAACACTGGAAAAAGGGAGAAATTGTTACTACTCATGAGGCACTTAATAGCCTTACATGGTATTCGGGTGTCTTGAATTGACCTGGAGGGAAGGGCTTGATATAAAATTTGCTGAGACCTTTCTTAAGAATTGATAGAGATTTGATCAGGATGCATAGTATGGAAGGGCACTGTTCATCTTGGAGACTTCCTTTTTTTTTTTTTTTTTTTTTTTTTTTTTTTTGAGACGGAGTCTCACTCTGTAGCCCAGGCTGGAGTGCAGTGGCCGGATCTCAGCTCACTGCAAGCTCCGCCTCCCGGGTTCACGCCATTCTCCTGCCTCAGCCTCCCGAGTAGCTGGGACTACAGGCGCCCGCCACCTCGCCCGGCTAGTTTTTTTGTATTTCTTAGTAGAGACGGGGTTTCACCGTGTTAGCCAGGATGGTCTCGATCTCTGACCTCGTGATCCACCCGTCTCGGCCTCCCAAAGTGCTGGGATTACAGGCTTGAGCCACCGCGCCCGGCCCGGAAATGGCAACTTAATGGCAAGTATAGAGACATGAGTATAATATTATAGCAAATCCACTATTACGTAAAACTCATTACAATTGTCACACGTGTTACAAGAGGGGAGGGTATCCTGATATCTTTAGAAATATTAAATTAAGTAGTTGCTTACAATGTTTCACTTTCATTTTGCAAGTAAAACTGGAGGTTTCATAAATAACACTGATGAAATATTTCTTTTTAATCAAGTAATTTTTTACCCTCAGATTTTCCTTGCTCAGGGTCATCGTCTGGTGTTTTGTATTCACTGTCTTTTTCAAGGGACTGGTCTTCGAATTCTCTGCTTTTCTGAGCATCTTTAGAGTCATTCTCAGTCTCGTTCTTGTCTTTTTCTATTTCTTCTGGGCTTTTAACATTATCAGTGTCTGCCTTTTTTGCTCTTATAGATTCCAAAATTTCTTCTATAATGAAAACAAATAAAAAATTATTTCTATATATAACCAAATAGAACAGTAAGTACAACAAATGCCACTTAAGAGTTTCAGTACAAGTTATTAAAGAGGAAAAATTAAGTATTTTTAAAGCATTAGACCTATGAAATAACAATCAATATTACAAACAAAATTTTGTTTAGAGAGTTCAATCAATGTGGTGTATCTTCACGTCTAGAAAATACATGCTAATTATGCGTTCTACTTTTGTTTTAAGTAAAGTTAGTCTATCTTTTAAAAATATAGGCTAGATACACATATCTGTGACAGATGACAAAAACTGCAAGCTGACATAGACCCACAGTCTGGGCAGCACACTGTAGTGATCAAAACCTAGAAACCCAAAACCCACTGCAAATCTGACTTGGATTAGCTGTGTGACTCTGGGCAAGCTACCTAACCTCTCCAGGCCATCATTTCCTCAATTGTAAAATGAGAAAACAGAGGCCCTTTTGTAAGAACTTTCTCTCTGAAATCCCTTAACTGTTCTGAAAGTCATTAAGTCTCTAAGCACACTCACCTTCTTTCAACTTAGACAGAGTGATGCCATGGCATGTTACAGACCACGGGATATAGAAGGACCACAGTGCACGGAAACCAGGGTGTATCAGTATGGACTCATGGATATCAATTATATTCTTTGGGTTATCATGCAATACTGTCACTTTTAATTTTGTTGCATAAATTGTTTCAGCTTTGGTCACTTGGTACTCTTTCCAAGTCTAGTGTCCTTTTGATACATATTCACTCATTCATTCATCCATCCATTCATTCATTCACTCAGCGTTTTCTTAACTTTCCAGTATTACAAGATGCTCCAGGTTCACCTTGTATTTTCCCTGCCCTAGTCCTAGAATCCACCATCTCTCCAAGGTGCCTTTGTTCTTTTTTGAAGAACAAATTGGAAAATGATGTTAGAAGTCACAATCTAGGTGCTTGGTGTGCTTGTTACAACTGGAGTGTTGCTTTCTAGGGTCTCTTGGCCAACAGAGCTAAGAAATGTAGTGATAAATATACACATCTATTATTATTTCTGCATTTATCTCTGCAGGCACATATGTGTATGAGTGAAAGCCTATGTGTCTGTGTAGGTTCATTTACCATTGCCCACTTGCTTATTTGTAACTTCTCTGACAGTGAGAAATCTGGCTCACATTATCTGTAATATATCTAGTTATTTGTTCATTCCATTCCTAGCACATAGTAAAATAGTTTCAGAATTGCTAAACTGTTTCCTCATAAAAATAAATTTACCAACTTGAGTACAATATTTGTGAATAAGAAGAAACACCATTTTTTTTTTTTTGAGACGGAGTTTTGTTCTTGTCGTCCAGGCTGGAGAGCAATGGTGCGATCCTGGCTCACTGCAACCTCCACTTCCCAGGTTCAAGCAATTCTCCTGTTTTCGACCTCCCAAGTAGCTGGGATTATAGGCGCCCACCACCACACGTGGCTAATTTTTGTATTTTTAGTAGAGACGGGGTTTCACCACGTTGGCCAGGCTGGTCTCGAACTCCTGACCTCAGGTGATCCACCTGCCTCAGTCTCCCAAAGTGTTGGGATTACAGGCATGAGCCACCGCACCAAGCCAGAAGAAACAAACACTTTTAATACCATGTATATCCACAGTACTCCTCTTTGGATTTTTGGGTTTGTGTTTCCTTTTTTTTTTTTTTTTTCTGAGATAGAGTCTCGCTCTGTTGCCCAGGCTGGAGTGCAGTGGCGCAATCTTGGCTTACTACAAGCTCCGCCTCCTGGGTTCACGTCATTCTCCTGCCTCAGCTTCCCAAGTAGCTGGGACTACAGGCACCAGCCATGACGCCCGGGTAATTTTTTGTATTTTAGTAGAGACGGGGTTTCACCATGTTAGCGATGATAGTCTTGATCTCCTGACCTTGTGATCCACCCGCCTCGGCCTCTCAAAGTGCTGGGATTACAGGCATGAGCCACTGCTCCCAGCCTGTGTTTCCTTTTTTAAAATTTTATTTTTTACTTTTTTAGAGACAGGGTCTCATTCTTGCCCAGGAGTACACTGAAGTGATCATAGCTCACTGTAACCTTGAATTCCTAGACTCAAGTGATCTTCCCACCTCAGCCTCCCAAGCAGATGGAACTATAGGTGTGTGTCACCATGCATGGCTAATTTTTCTTTTTTTTTTTTTTTTTTTTTTTTGAGACGGAGTCTTGCTCCAGGATGGAGTGCAGTGGTGTGATCTTGGTTCACTGCAAAACCTCCGCTTCCTGGGTTCAAGCGATTCTCCTGCCTCAGCTTCCCCAGCAGCTGGGACTACAGGTGCGTGCCACCACGTCCCGCTAAATTTTTGTATTTTTAGTAGAGATAGGGTTTCACCATGTTAGCCAGGATGGTCTCGATCCCCCAACCTCGTGATCTGCCCACGTTGGCCTCCCAAAATGCTGGGATTACAGGCATGAGCTACTGTGCCCAGCCGCCTGGCTAATTTTTTAATCTTTTTAAAAATAGAGATGGAGTCTCACTATGTTGCCCAGGCTGGTCTTGAACTTCCAGCCTCAAGCGACCCCCCTGCCTTGGCCTATCAAAGCACTGGGATTACAGTCGTGAAGTGCTGCCCAGCCCTTAATTACTATATTTTAAAGAACATTTTATTTGGAAAAAGAAATGTAGTCACCGATTATCTGCTTTTCTTAGAGGCACAGCTTTCCTCTTTTCTTTCTTTCTTTTCTTTTCTTTCTTTTTTTTTGAGTCTTGCTCTGTTGCCCAGGCTGGAATGCAATGGCACAATCTCAACTCACTGCAACCTCCACCTCCCGGGTTCAAGAGATTCTCCCACCTCAGCCTCCCAAGTAGCTGGGGCTATAGGTGCACACCACTGATGACACCTGGCTAATTTTTATATTTTCTGTAGAGATAGGGTTTCACTATGTTGGCCAGGCTGGTCTCAAACTCCTGACCTCAAGTGATCCACCCATCCCAAAGTGCTAGCATTACAGGTGTGAGCCACCATGCCCGCTGTCTTTCAAACATAGCTACATCCTATAGCTTTTCTTAACCAAATCATTGTACATCCTCCCAACTTTCCCAGGCCATTTAATGAAAACCAAACCAAAAAAAAATGTTTAATTGCCTACTAAGTTTAGACCATTTAAATTGGTTGAAAAGCACAGGTTGGATGACCATAGTTCTCTGATTTTCTATAAAGATTCTAATTTCAAATAGTCTATCTTGCTAAACACTCTTGTATATATGTGTGTATGTAAATGTGTGTATACATACACACATTCATACTGGTTTTAGGTCCAAAAGCCTATGACAGTCATAGCCATAAGAAAAACAGACCAAAAATAGGGCCAGGCACAATGGCTCAGGCCTGGAATCCCAGCACTTCACAAGGCCGAGGCAGGTGAATCACTTGAGGCTAGAAGTTTGAGACCAGCCTGGCCAACATGGTGAAACCCCATCTCTACCAAAAATACAAAAATTAGCCGGGCGTGGTAGTGCACACCTGTAATCCCAGCTACTTGGGAGGCTGAGACATGAGAATTGCTTAAACCCAGGAGACTGAGGTTGCAGGGAGCTGAGATCATGCCACTTGCACTCCAGCCTGGGTGATACAGTGAGACTCTGTCTCAAAAAACAACAACAAAACAACCAACAGCAACAACAACAAAACAACAAAAATAGACCCAGTGTTCAGCAGAGGGAAAAACATTAAAGGATGAAAGAAAATTATGTTGTATCTGATCTATACTAAATATGCATATTCTATAAACATGTATATTCTACACTTTGCATGAATATTTCAAAACTAAACAAAGAATGAACCTAACAGGTTTTAGAAACCATCTCTACTTAGAAAAATTTCTTCTAAAAATAAACTTCCTTCAAACAAGCAAAATAAAGCATTATAAAACTTAATTACCATACAGGCATAGGATAAAGCAAATATAGTAAGCTGTATATTTAGCTATAAATATATAGTAAAGTACAGATCTAGATAATGAATATATGAGTATTTACTGTATAATTATTATTATTATTATTATTATTTTGAGACAAACTCTGCCTCTGTTGCCCAGGCTGGAGTGCAGGGGCGCAATCTCAGCTCACTGCAACCTCCACCTCCCAGGTTAAAGCAATTCTCCTGCCTCAGCTTCCTGAGTAACTGGGATTACAGGTGTGTGCCACCAGGCCTGGCTAATTTTTGTATTTTTAGTACAGATGGGGTTTTGCCATGTTGGTCAGGCTGGTAACTGTATAATTCTTTAAACCTTTCTGTACATTTAATTTTTTTCATAAAATATTGAGGAAAAATGCAGAAGAAAAATTTAACTCTCAGAAATAGAATTAAACTCACCTAAAGTAGACATGCATGTGTATAAAAACCAGAGAGCTATACGTTAGAAATGAAGTATTTTGTTTGAGAGGTTAACATCAAGTCAAAGTCATGAGGACAGACTACGATTCTGAAATTCCTGTTATGTTACAAATTATTCTTGGCTATTATCAGAACCTCAGTAGTTTCCATTGTTTTCATCTCATATAACTCCAAGTCAAAGAACACCATTAGACATTATTTTGGGTATTTACCTGGACTGGGTGGTCCCAAACTGACTATCAAAGCCAAGATTTTGGTTACCAGAGAGAGCAAATAAAGGTAACGGTGGTGGACTGGTGTTTTAATGGGGAATTCTTCTGAGTGTTGAATTCATTGCCAATATACTCCTTAAAAAGTTGTTGAGAGGGTTAAAGAATTGTAAAACACCTAGTTGAGCACCTGGCCACAGTAGGCACTCAAAAATGTTAGTTTTCCCTTCTCTTCCCCATCAGTTTTCAACTCTTGTGAATCCTTCCTCCTCTAGTACCAGGTTGACGTTGTACCTTAACCAAAAAAGGGAGGCCAAGGCGGGCGGATCACGAGGTCAGGAGGTCGAGACCATCCTGGCTAACACAGTGAAACCCCGTCTCTACTAAAAATACAAAAATTTAGCCGGACATGGTGGCGGGCGCCTGTAGTCCCAGCTACATGGGAAGCTGAGGCAGGAGAATGGCATGAACCCGGGAGGCGGAGGTTGCAGTGAGCCGAGATTGCGCCACTGCACTCTAGCCTGGGTGACAGAGCGGGACTCTGTCAAAAAAAAAAAAAAAAAAGAAAGAAAGAAAATTTTAATCTGTTTTCAAAGTTTGCATTTCATACCAACTGATTTCAAACCAACTGATTTCATACCAACAGTTTAGCTCAGACTTAACAAAAATAAAATGAGAAAATGCCCCTCTCACCATTAGCTGCCGCCAGAAAGGATTTGTTACTGCCCCGAGCCTTATCGGTCAGGGCTTCGGTTATGTCCATGTGTCGGTGGATTTCTTCACGCATTTCTTCCAGAATTCTGCAGAGTTCTGCTTCCCAATAATCTTTCTCTAGACAGTCAATTAATTCTGCAAGCTGGACCTTTGTGCTGTAGTACCACATTTTCTTTTCATTTTCTGTATCTTCTTCTCTGTTTAAAAATGGGGGGAAATATTTTATATATTAGACATAATGCCACTTACCTGAGTTTCATCTACCCAGTGAAAAGTTAAAACAAAGCTTATGCACTAAAACTCAATATATGTGCTCACAAGAGATCCCTGCAGGTCTTACTCAAACTAGACTGACTCTGAGAAAGGACATCTAAAAAACATGACACAAAGAAAGATGACCTCAAAATTCAGAACCACGTGAGAGTACTCTGTGGAAGCCAGTTTCAGCTACTTCTCAATCAACTTTAAGATCATCAGTGTAACAATATGGTGAGCAGAATGTATTTAGAATTATTTTATTTTATTTATTTATTGAGACAGAGTTTCACTCTTGTCGCCCAGGCTGGAGAGCAGAGGCGCAATCCCGGCTCACTGCAACCTCCGCCTCCCAGGTTCAAGTGATTCTCCTGCCTCAGCCTCCAGAGTAGCTGGGACTACAGGCACGTGCCACCATGCCTAGCTAATTTTTGTATTTTTAGTTCAGATGGACTTTCACCATGTTGGCCAACATGTTCTTGATCTCTTGACCTTGTGATCCACCCACCTCGGCCTCCTAAAGTGCTGGGATTACAGGCATGAGCCACCGCACTCGGCCTAGAATTATTTTAGAATAAATTTATTTTAGAGACAGGGTCTCACTTTGTCACCCAGGTTAGAGTGCAGTGGCACTATCATGGCTCACAGCATACTCAGACTCCTAGGCTCAAGCAATTCTCCCGCCTCAGCCTCCCAAGTAACTAGGACTACAGACATGTGCCGCCATACCTGGCTAATTTTATAATATAGTTTAGAAATATTTTCATCAAAATGGTGTAAATGCTTTGCTAAATTCTGGTTCTTGAAGGAGTTATCTCAAATAATACCTCATCCCTCTTCTTTACTTCTGGACAACTGAAGCTCAAACTGGAGAGGAGCTTTCTCTCCTGCCTAAAACCCTCCTAAGGTTCCATTCACTTTTAATGGAGTTAAAGACTTCAACAGAGATGGTCACTAACTTAAAAGAAACAGGTAAATTAATGTCTAGGACTAGATGTAGAGGAACACATATAATGGTATGTCTGTTCCCACTCAAAAGGAATTCAAGAGTATGTGTGAGGCAATTGATGAGAGTGAGTCTGATTTTCTTGTTTCCTCAATGGCAAACTGAGGGAACTGAAAGAACTGGGCTTTAGGGGAGATCTGGCTTTAAATAGGCTCATTTGCTTATAAGATATGTGGACATGGACAAAACACAAGCTCTCTGAGCCTCTAAGACATTTTATTTACCTCACTTGTAAAATGAGGATATAACAAAAACCTGCCTGCAGGCCACTATAGGACTTAAAGGTATAATGATAAGGCATCTACCATAGTGCCTGGGCACATTAGTGATCAATAAATGTTAAATATTATTATTATTATTATTTATTTTTGGGACGGAGTCTCGCTCTGTCGCCCAGGCTGGAGTGCAGTGGCATGATCCCAGCTCACTGCAAGCTCCGCCTCCTGGGTTCACGCCATTCTCCTGCCTCAGCCTCCCGAGTAGCTGGGACTACAGGCGCCCGCCACCTCGCCCCGGTTAGTTTTTTGTATTTTTTTAGTAGAGACGGGGTTTCACCGTGTTTGCCAGGATGGTCTTGATCTCCTGACCTCGTGATCCACCTGTCTCGGCCTCCCAAAGTGCTGGGATTACAGGCTTGAGCCACCGCGCCCGGCCTAAATATTATTATTAAGATAAAAAATGAATAAAAATTTAGTAGCATTACAGGAATGAGTCACTCAGTAATTCTGAGAAAGAAGGGCTATATTAAATCATAGATAAACAAAAGGATACTGGTGGAGTACCCTTATTCTGAAAACCTGAAATCCAAAATGCTCCAAGATTCAAAAGTTTTTGAGTGCCAACATGCTGTTCAAAGGAAATGCTCATTACAGCATTTCAGATTTTCAGATTAGGAATGATCAACTGGTAAGTATAATGCAAATATTCCAAAGCCCAAAACACTTCTGATCCAAAGCATTTTAGATAAGGGATGCTCAACCTATACAGTATTCACTGACTTAACATTTTTCTTCTTGAAGCCACAGAAAGATAAATTCATTAAAGCATAAAGTAGCAAAACATCAAATACCTGCTAATCCATTCAAAGAAAAGTTGGGGCTTTTTTGGTCTGTTTTGTTTTGTTTAACTTTTCTCTTTGCTGGGTGACGGAGTCTCGCTTGGTTCACCACAAGCTCTGCCTCCCAGGTTCAAGCGATTCTCCTGCCTCAGCCTCCTGAGTAGCTAGGACTATGGGCGCATGCTAATAAAAATTAGCGCCCGGCTAATTTTTGTGTTTTTAGTAGAGACGGGTTTTCACTATGTTGGCCAGGCTTATCTCGAAATTCTGGGCTCAAGCGATCCGCCCATCTGGCTTCCTAAAGTGTGGGGATTTCAGGCCTGAGCCACCGCACCTGGCCATCCTCTTCAAACAAAACATGGCATTTCCATTGGCCTAGGTCTTCACCTTGTCTACTTCATTGACTTACATTACCTACCTAGTCCCTGCAGCCATATACACATTTGTCACCCTTAGAGCTCAACCAAATTGTATTGAATGCATTTATTTGGCAATTAGTACTTGTATTTTAATTTTCATTTCATGTATGTGTTCCATTTTCCTAATAAGATTGAAATAAGCCATTTGACGTACAGAATCCTGTTAGGTATTTTTCTTTCTTTTTTTAAAATTTGTGAGTGCTCTGTCACTCAGACTGGAGTGCAGCGGTGCAATCACGGCTCAGTGCAACATCCACCTCCCAGGCTCAAGTGATCCTCCCCCCTCACCCTCTCGCGTAGCTGGGACCACAGGTGCGCACCACCATGCCCGGCTAATTTTTCAATTTTTTTTCTAGAGACGAGGTCCTGTTGTCTTGCCCAGGCTGGTCTCGAACTCCTGACCTCAAGCTATCGTCCAGCCTTGGCCTCTCAAAGGGCTAGCATTGCAGACGTGAGCTATTGCGTCCGGCCAACTATTTTTTAATTACTTTTTGGTTGTCACTTATCTCAATAAATATTAAAGTTTATAAAATCTTTCTCTTATCTGAACAGCTGACTTCAACCACTCAGAGTTGAGTCCCTGTGATAAGGTTTGAGGGTGCCTGAAATGTCATCATGATATGTACCCTGGGCTAAACTCAAACCTAGTGACTTCTCAAGTAAATAAATAAAGGTTATTTCCCGATAATACAAACCTATAACACCGTGAAGTAGGTTTCGGGCAGGATTCCCTCTTTTCCACTGCAAAAGAGAGGTAAGTTCTTGCTTAGGTGGTCGGGGTCCTAGCTGGGACACTGGGAAGGTGGCGGGAGATTGGAACATGCAGCAGCTGCCTTCTGGAGTTTACTGAGGCTTTCGGAGTGGGGATTCCGCGCAACAGGTTTTAGGGCCCCCCTCCCTCCGGGCGGGGCATCCGGGAGCGTGGCTCCCGGCACAGATCCGGAACAGTTGTCATCGGAGTCAATTTCAGGACTCCAGCTCCAAGCCTCGCAGTTTCCTAAATTCTGGGGGCTTGTCTCCCTGTCCCCCGACCCCGACTAATTTCCCTCGGTCGCTGGCGCTGCCCCGTCCCTTAGGTCGCTCGGGCCGCCCCCATCCGCGACTTTCTTTTTCTTTCTCTAGCTGTTTCCCTAGAGGGCTGGGCGGGGCGGAATGATATTTGGGGGCTCTCCTGCCTTCCTGTCGGAGCCGCGGAAGCGGAGCCGCGGGAAGGAAGTCCGGCTAGCTTTGGGCTCCAGCCAGGGGTCCGCGGAGACTGTGGTCTCCGAAAGCCTTAGACGCCGGGCGTATAGCGAGCTGCGGGTCTCTCTCAGCCGCGCCACCCGCGCTCGGAGTCCAGCCGCGCCGGCGCCCCGGGCTCTCCGCTCTCGACTCAATGTTCCCGCGCTCTCCCTAGCGGCCGCCGCGCCACCTCGCCCCTTCGCAGGCTCGTCGGCGGCGCAGCTCGCGTGACGGCCCTCCAGTAGCGGGAAGAAGTAAGATGGCGGTTGAAGGCGATCCGGAGTGGGGCCCCAGCAATTCGGTTGAGCCTTCTCCCTCCACCCGCTTCCGCCGGCCGGGCCCCTCCCGCCCGGCCCCTAGGGCCTCCCCACCCGGCCCCGGCGCTCCCCACCGTCCCCACTGCGCCAGGCCCTCCCCGTCCACTTTCCCTTCTTCCCCCGCCTCAGGCTCCAACAAGAGGGGCCGGTGGGGCAGGCCGACCAAGCATCCCGCGGCTCCCGCTGCGCAGCGCTGCGCCCCGGCCCCGCCGCCGCCGCCGCCCACGTCCGGACCCATCCGGAGGCTCCGCTCGCCGCTACACGGTAGCAGCCGGGGCAGGTGGGCAGCCGCCAAGCTGAGGTGGTGCCCAAGACGCGGCTGAGCTCGCCCAGGCTGGGCAGCAGTAGCCGGCGGAAGTCGCCGCCGCCGGGCCCCGGCGCTAGCACCAGCGACCCGGGCGGGCGAGGGGCGGGGGCGAGGAGGCAGGGGCAGCCACCTAGCCCGGACCACCGCGGCCCGGAGCGTGGTCAACAAAGTGGTGCACGACGATGACTCCGATTATCGGGAGGAGCTGGAAGACGACGGTGAGGACGCCAGATACTACACGGAAAGCAGCTTCAGGAGCTGTAGTACCTACAGCAGCACTCCAGGTACCCACGCAGCTCAGTTGCTGCAGACTCCTTCCTCACCTCCTCTGCCCTTCTCCGCCCTCCCCGCTTGCTCACTTATGTGGTGTGCATCCTGCTCCGATCTCCCGCCAACCCCGCCGACCCCTAAGCAGAGGGGGAAATGCGAGGGGAAAGAGGCGCATTGTTCAAAGTGGAGATTGCATTGTTGCAGTTTGCAGGCCGCACTCTCTCGCTGCCCCCCCCCCCGCCCCCCTGCCAACCCCCTCTTTTTCCTCCTCAGAATTTGTGCCGTGTGCAGTGTCTCCACCGGGCAGGATTGAAACTTTGGCAAACACATATCCTTTGCATTCATTTTTCTCCCCTTGTTTTGGTGTGGTTTTCCGGAATGAAAGAAGCCTCTTGTTTTGCAAACCTCTTTGCATTTCTAATGTGGTTCCTTTCGGATTTTTATTATATATCTGTTCCTTAAAAGGGAGTTAAGGATTTGGACAGATTGTGGCATACAAACACACAAAAACACGCCTGTTTTCACACCCCTAGCTGTGGTTTTTAAATTGTGTTAAGGAAACGGATCATTTGGGTTAGTAGGGGAACCTTATCTGGTACTGTGTGTTTTTATTATTCGAGTGCTAATGGGCCCGTGCAACAGCTGCTGGTAAATGGCTGATTAAAAAGCAAAGCAGAAAGCCAAACAAGACCCAACCAAATTTGGTAATTCATCCGATTCAAAATTGTTTTGGTTAAATCAAAAATAAAAGTATAAGACCGCAGGAACGCGCGTCTTAACTCATTTGATCGCTTTGCCTTGCTTAGGGAGTGCAGTTTCGTGTCACCTGTTGCAGATGATGTGTAGTTGATCATCTAGACATAATTGCCGAAGATGAACTTTTGGACCAACTTCTGTCACACAGCGTCAGTATCAGATTTCTTACACAGCGACTTTTTCTTTTCACTCTTATTTCTGAGGAAAAAGCCCTCCTGAAATCCGTAGTGAATTTCTCCATGGTAACCCCTCTTATGTTTTCACACAGAAACATTTCTCTAGGCTGGTGCATTTTGTTAAACACCCCCGCCCCCTGCCCCCACCGCAAAGTCTACTTTGTATTAAATACGTGGTTGCAGTTTACTAAATTGTGAAATTAACCGAAACAACAACCGGCAAGACTTTCCTTTATAATTTTGCAAATCTAGATTAATTAGAATCTGTTTTTAAAAACATTTAAAAAATAAAGTTTATGAGGAAATACTTGTGATGAAAAAGTACGCTTTTTTCCTTGAAGTGAGTTGTGTCATGTCTTTCTCAGAGAAACTAGGGTAGTAGAAGTGGTTAAATTGCAAAGTTTCTGTTTTTTTAAATAAATGCTTAAATACTTATTGGAGAAGTAGGGTAGTATTATATTAAGCCAAATGTAAACCCATGTAGATTGTCCTAACATAAACTGAAAAAGTAATTTCTTTTGCCCAATAGTCAGAATCATTGCCAGACTTGCCCTGGGAGGCTGGCTAGAGAATGAAGGGAATGAATCAAGTGTCCGATATTTATGTCTTATATGTAGAAGGGAATACATGTAAATTCTTCCCAACCTAATTTTTAATGCATCTTTTTTTTGTTTGTTTGTTTGAGACAGAGTCTTGCTCTGTCGCCTAGGCTGGAGTGCAATGGCGCAATCTTGGCTGACTGCAAGCTCCACCTCCCGGGCTCAAGAGATTCTCCTGCCTCAGCCTCCATAGCAGCTGGGATTACAGGTACCCACCAGCGCGCCTGGCTAATGTTTGTATTTTTAGTAGAGATGGTGTTTCACCATGTTGGCCAGGCTGGTCTTGAACTCCTGACCTCGTGATCCGCCCACCTTGGCCTCCCAAAGTGCTGGGACTACAGGCGTGAGCCACCGCGCCCGGCCTAGTACATCTTTTATAGTAATAACTTTTACCTTAAGAAATCACATGTTGGTCTTTGTACCCAGAGCCGGTAATTGAAACATGGAGACTGGATTGCATACACCCGTTGGAGAAGTTTTTTCTGGTTAGAGCTGAGACATTTTGGCAGGGCAGTAAGTCCTATTTGAAGGCCTAGCAAATAATATTTAGGATTGATGATTGTGCATAAGCTGACTTAAATTACAATTTGTAGCTAGGTGTCCTTTAAAAAAATGTGTTTACTTTTGATACTTTTGTGACATTTTGTTTTTCTTTTTTGGAGAAGGAGTTTTGCTCTTAGTGCCCTGGCTGGAGTGCAATGGTACAATCTCGGCTCACTGCAGCCTCCGCCTCCCAAATTCAAGCAGTTCTCCTGCCTCAGCCTCCCAAGTAGCTGGGATTACAGGCATGCACCATCACACCTAATTTTGTATTTTTAGTAGAGACGGGGTTTCTGCATGTTAGTCACGCTGCGAGGTCTCGAACTCCTGGCATCAGGTGATCCGTCCGCCTCAGCCTCGCAAAGTGCTGGGATTGCAGGCGTCAGCCACCATGCCCGGCCTGACTTTTTTTTTTTTTTTTTTTTTTTTTTTTTTTTGAGACGAGTCTCGCTCTGTCGCCCAGGCTGGAGTGCAGTGGCCAGATCTCAGCTCACTGCAAGCTCCGCCTCCCGGGTTTATGCCATTCTCCTGCCTCAGCCTCCCGAGCAGCTGGGACTACAGGCGCCCGCCACCTCACCCGGCTAGTTTTTTGTATTTTGTAGTAGAGACGGGGTTTCACCGTGTTAGCCAGGATGGTCTCGATCTCCTGACCTCGTGATCCTCCCGTCTCGGCCTCCCAAAGTGCTGGGATTACAGGCTTGAGCCACCGCGCCCGGCCCTATTTTGTTTTTTTCAATGACACTTGTAGCCTACTGTGTGTCTACTTGTCCTATCCGTATATGAAATGATTAACTCTGTAGAGACAGTATTGAGCCTATTCCCCTGCAGCTCCTGTAACAGTGTTTCGCGCATAGCCGCTGCTCATCAAAGGTTGGTTGGATAAATTATTGTTAGTAGATGAGAACTTGTAATAGATGAAGTTTTGATAATTCTACAGCGGGTGTCATAACCCCTAAATATTTTGGATTTAGGAAACTAAAAATTGTTCTAATTGGTTTTTGTTTTTTTTTGTTGTTGTTCTTTTCTAATTGGGTTTTAATGGACAATTTGATCAGTGAATGTTTTTATTTTTATTATTTATTTATTTATTTATTTGAGACGGAGTCTCGCTCTGTTGTCCAGGTTGGAGTACAGTGGCACGCACGATCTTGGCTGTCTGCAATCTTCGCCTCCCAAGTTCAAGCAATTCTCCTGCCTCAGCCTCCCGAGTTGCTGGGACTACAGGCGCACACCGTGGCCACGCCCAGCTAATTTTTTGTGTTTTAGTAGGGATGGGGTTTCACCGTGTTGCCCAGGCTGTTCTCGAACTCCTGAACTCAGGCAATCCGCCCTCCTCGTGCTAGGATTACAGGCGTGAGCCACCTCGCCCAGCCCAGTGAATGTTTTTCATTGCAAGAGTTACTTTGTTTTTGAGTTGCTGTTTCATATTGCTTGCCAGGCATTTTCCTTTATTTTCTGTGATGTTAATTTGGATGTTTTACCTTTTGCAGCACATTGTTTCTTAAGATTATGGTAAAATGGATGTGACTTTTTTTTCCTTATTTCTTCTAAAAACAAAATGGGGTACATGTGCAGAGCGTTCAGGTTTGTTGCATAGGTATACGTGTGCCATGGTGGACTGATACACCTATTGACCTGCCCTCTAAGTTCCCTTCTCTTGCCCCCTACCCCACCAGATGTGAGTGATGTTTTGAGTTCTAAACTTTTAGAACATGCCCACTTGCCTCGAATGAGTAACAACGCGTGACAGTGAGTTGTTTAGGCTCAGTACTAGTTTCAATGGTTTTATAGTCTGTACTTCCTGGGTGGAGGGCTGTCAGGTAAATGTGTAGATGGAAGAATGGTTTAAGATATATGAATAACACATAAAGAAGTATGATGAATTTGAATCCTGTTGTACTGCAAAGGCTGAAAGAGGAATTTACTTTATTGGTAATTTAGAGTAATTTGATTAATTTTTATAGTTTACAGCGTTGGCTTAGTTACTGACATTTGACATTCCTAAGAAATCACCCACTCCTAGTATAAGAAATAACTCAGTATTTTGTGGCTAATATAACTTAATGCAGTGACTTTAGTTGATATTACTAAAGTCATACAAAGTTTATTTATTGAAGATTGTTTTCCTTTTATGGGAAGAATGTAAGGATGACAACTGTTTAGTATAAAATTGAAATCACCTAGGGTTGCTTAAGCTGAAGGCATGTGGCTGAATAATGCTTTGATTAATTTATTTTGACTTTTTAAATTTAGAATTATTTCAGCCTATAGGTTTTATGACATTGCCAATATAATGAGAAGGATTGTGTAGGAAGTGTTTTCAATAGGCATTTGGTGAAGTTCTGACAGCACTTTGAAATTAAGCATTTGCTAATTTTAAGAAATTGTATTTAAAACAGAATGTTGTGTTTCAGTCTCAAGTCTTGTGTGAGACTTCTGAGAATACTTACCTGGAATTTTAAAACTTGGAACCTCTGATGACTTCATAAAACAAAAGTCCTGGTGTTATCCTGAGAGAGTTAGTGATTTATGTCCTCTAAGGATTGTGACAGTGGAGATCAGTGGCAGAGATGCCATGAGGGAACCATAGATTTACCTCAAACAGAATTTATCACTGGTTTGACAATATTATTCCCACCAGTGTCAACTTAATATCTTTTCAGTATAATTTCTGATTGCTACAGGTGTGGTACAAAGTGCAGTGGGCATTTAAAGGAGGGAGAGATTATGTACCCTGTTTAAGGGGATTGGTGTGGGCATAGGCTTCCTGGATGGGCATGTGGAGGGTAAGGACAGGCAGATTGAAGGAGGGAGGGGGAGGGAGCAGGAGGAGTAGCAGGCACTTGTTGTAAAGTGTGGGCAGTCTCAAGTAACTCGGTTTAACAAGAGCCTGAGAGTGTGAATAGGAAATAAACCAAAGCTCCCTTGTATGCTGTGTTGGGCAGTACCTAGAGGATCAGGCTATAGCAACTGTGCTTTCCCTCTCATCTGTAGAATAAGGATTGGGCTAGATTGTGATCCTCAGACCTTTTCCCTCCTGAACCCCCCGAGGAGATATGCTGTATTCCCAGCAGCACCATGCACAAACATGAAACGGAACCACATCAAATCACAGAGATGCTGTTGAACCACTGGTGTGGCCTTTCTCCCAAACTGAGAGAATTACTAGGGAAGTGGCCTGAAACTCTCTCTGTCTTTCAAATCTATTTCAAATCTTTAATTTTGGGTATGGGATGATCGGAAGATCTTGAAAGAGTGAGGTGTGGTTTCAGAGGGATGCCACGAAGTTTAGCATAGCTTCTGTTCTGCAGGATGGATTGACAAGGACGAGATAGCTGGTGGGTTTTGTAGTCCTGAATGGAAGATCAGTCCAGGAGGTACTTTAGAGTTCTTCAGGCCTTGACACATAGAGTGTAGAGAGAGGAATGCATCACCTATGCCTCCCTAAGAATGATAGTACTTTCAGGAACAATAGGGAGGTCAAGATTATAAGGGAAATTAATGACATCTGTTTTCAGGTATCAGTACCTCAAGAGGTTAAACATGGGAATTAAAATGAGAGCCAAAAGCGTTTTGAAAAAGTTAGGCAACATGATTTGTGAGTAGTAGAGAGGCGTGTCCTAGTTATGCAGTAATAAATAGTCTTGCATACGGTTCATGCTTTTCTATTCTGCTCACGCATGGGCGTGTTTGGAAGTTTGTATTGAAACATGCATATAAAAGGACTGGGCATGTTAAGACCAGGAGCTCTGGTCTCTTCTGTTAGGTCCTCCTTTCCTCAGTCCTCAAGACCCCGTGTCTTCCCTTTGACTAAAGACCCGTAATGGTGGAGACATGGGGGTGAGAGAGTGGTAGTCATGGTGGGCAGGTGGTAATCTGGGTAAGGCAGGAGCAAATCCTAGCTGATGCCCTTTTCCCTTCCTGCT